GAGCTCTTGTCAAGAATCAAAGTAGTTTGCCAGCAAGCTGACCAGCCATTGGTGGCCTGCATGGACGACGGTGACTGGGAAGTAATTAGACATGACGTGCTCGTCAGCCATGGCTGATCTGCACACGGTTTCGTAGAGCATGACCCATAACTCGGGGTTCTCCTTGCCGTCGTACTTCTGGAGTTTTTCGAGCTTGAAGTTTTTTGGCCACACGACTTGGCGAAGGTGAGGAGTAAACTGCTTCAAACCCGGAGGGTCGTGGGTAGTATCATATTCCATACGGCGATAGCTTTCGTAGGATGCACGATCATTGGCTCTTTGGTTGATGCGATCGCGCAGATCGCGTTCTCCGAGGGAATGGCGGAGATCGTTATTGCCATCACGGCGACCCCGATTGCCGCACTGGTTGACCCTACGACCGTGCTTATCACGGCGATTGTCGCGGTTTTCTCATCGATTATCATCCCGATTGTAGCGGCGGTTGTCGTCCTGACCACCATCATGACCACCGTTTCTGCCTTGACGGTTGTCTGGTGGGACGTTGTTGCGCGAGCCACGTTGGTTGGGTGGCTGTGGGCAACTTGAATACTGACGACTGTGGCTTGATTCGACTGAGGCGGTCGGAGCCCGAGCTTGGTTTGCAATCTCTGCGGTCTGGGCCATAGCAGCCGTCAGGTAGGCTTGCATATCATCACGAATTGCCTAGATTTCCGGGGTATTGGGCAGTCGTTGCATTGTCGCCATAGCAACAGCTACATTGGCACTTGGAGTCCTGAAGACCTGCTTTTCCCCTACCCTATCAAAGGCATTGTTGAGATCGCATGGTTGGAGCCTTATGCGTCGTGCCTCCACTTCTACCTCGACTTCGGCTTGTCTGCGATTAAACCGATCAATATTGCGTGCTTCGAGTGCTAGCCTTTCTTGTTCTGTTTCGCCAATTGCCGAGGGTTCGTCATTACTGACGACATTGATTAAGTCCCCTCGCCTTGGTGGGAAGGATGGGAATCGTGGAAACCCCGGGGGGCGGTCTGGGATATCCAGATCGTAATCAACTTCTTCATCGTCGCGAAGCTGAAGCTCAGTGTGGATGGAGCCATTAGATGCGGTGCTGGACGAGGAGCTTGAGTCGCCCCCTTAAACTGTGTGGACCGATCCTTCTTGATACTCCTCAATCCGAACCATGTTGACGAAGTTGCGTGGCTTTGGCCGAGGTCGATGTATATTGTACGCGTAGTTGGAAGCAGTGTTTCGCAGGCCGTAGGGCTGGGCCTGGTAATTCTCCATCAAGGCTTCGCACTCGGAGAGCTGGAGACCCGTTGCGGGGGCTGGCCGGCTATGAACGGAGCGCCCTTCAGGAGTAGACGTGACCACGAGATCCATACCGAGTCATGCAAGACGACTGGCCTGAGCTGGTCGGGTAGATCTGTTGTGGGTAATGGTTACCTGCTCGGAAGGTTGATTTTGAATCGAATCTACCAGAGCTAGGGTTTCAGCAAGCTCGGTGCCGACCCGATCAATGGAGTCGAGTAGGTCGGTGTTGTCGATCTGCCTCCCTTTGTAGCGAGGAAGCGAACGATGGGTTGTCGGCGTGGCTGAAGATGACGCTGGTGTGGCCGGAGCCAGATCCAACGCGGTCGGAGCCGTAGCCGATGTTGGTGAAGCAGCGGTCGACGCAGATTGGATCTGCGCCTCCTCCGTGGTCATGGCGATGAAGTTGTCGGAGCCAGTGGTCCAGGTGATCTGGCCGATGGTGAACGTGAGGCCGTTCGGTGTAGCCATGGAGCCGGGGATGATGACCATCTTGTTCGTCTGGGGAGCAGTACGCACCCCCCCTACCTGGCGCCCCACTGTCGATGAAATATGGTCGGCAGTCTACCTAGGGGTATGCCCAAGGTAGTAGATTATCGGTAGACAGGTGCGCAAGCTACGAACGAGATGGTGATGCAAGACAGACATGAGGTTTTATCCAGGTTCGGTCGCCGTGAGGGCGTAATACCTACGTCCTGCGTCTGATTGTATTACTGTATGTCAATGAGATTGTTTTTGAGAGAGGTCCCCTGCCCGCCTTATATAGTCTGGGGGGCAGGGTTACAGATCTGAAAACTAATCCTAACCGGTTACAATTGCCATAGGTGGCCGAATAAGGATTCCTATTCTAACCGACCAGGATCTTGCTTGATCTGTAAGTCTACCTTGATTCCTTGCGTGGGACTCCGAGCAGATCAGCTGGGCCGCGCGTCGTCTTCTGGTGGACCGAACCCCCTGGCCCGGGCCGGCCCAAACCTAGCCGTAAGGGTATAGGGGTTAATACCCCCCCACATGGCAGCCTTTATGTTGTGTTCCTACTTATTTGCATTCTCAAACTTGCTGCTTTTCTAAACTTGTTTGGTACATGTGCATCCACCTGTGATGAGTACTTACATGAATTATAGCACCAAATCCTACATCTGAGGCCACCATTTTTTAAGCCTATGATGTCAACAGTTTAAATTGATCAAGATGAACCACCTCATTGGTGTGGCATTTAGGATCATGGGTTGTTTCTTCTCTTAACCCCAAGATCTTCAATGCCATATTAATGGCTTGTTTCATGATTTATATTTGACGGGGGCTAATGAACTTTTTAATTTCATAACAAATGGCCCCTTGCTATGTGGTTTTTGAGGAGAGGATCCCTGGGATTTACTGGACTTGGCATGAATGCAGCCTTCAGGTACTTGGGTACTCTGACGCTAGGTACAAGAAGTACAAAAACTATGATCAGGCTCTACTTGATTACAATGCATCCAAAGAGCTTCAAAGAGGGTCCCAGAAATAGCAGCATAGGCATAGTGCTGCTATGTCTAATGGCACACCTGATGGTAAGCTATGAAGTTGGAAAAAAGTGCTTATATTGGCCCTTTGTGTGATGTTGTTTGTTATTTGTTGGTTTCAAAGGTAAACCAAAGACCAGCCAAATCAAACTAGGCTCCCAAATTAGTATAATTATTTGCTATTTGTAGGCCAAGTCTCCCTCGTAGGCCAATGATGACAGCAACCTAGGTTTCATTAGTTGCCTTCATGCTTTTGTTCTGTGTATCATGAGCCCATGTCTTAGCTGGATATGCTTTTGGACAACTGTTGTATGTACTGAACTCACATTTGTGCTGTTAATCTCTCTGTCACATTGGTTTTTAATTATCTGGAGGCAGCTATGATTAATTAATGCATGACAACACTACTTAGTCTGAGGCCAATCTGATCAAATTTACATTGTTGTTGTTGTATCCTCTAGTCTGATCAAATTTGCATTCTCAAATCTATTCTTGTTTTCTCTACACTGCTGGCTCTGGTACTTGGCCTATGGCTAGCCGGGCGAAAGCCGAGCACCCAAACCCTAACTGAAGCTATTTGGCTATTTGTATTTGGATCCGATGTTATGATAAGTGTAGTATACACATGTAGTATTACTAGGTGGCTCCCCGCGCTTCACCGTGGGCAGTCTGAGTTGTAGTTTAATTTTTGCATTGAACGGCAGGGTAAACTGTAATTTAACTTTTGCGTTGAATAAGCCATGCATAGCAGGTGTATTACGTTTGGAGTTAAGAGCACTTGAACTAAAAATGGCACTGTATTTTTGCATTCAGTGCATTCAATATCGATGTAACTATGGTCCTGAGATCAGTAGAGGTTCATGAAGCAAGAGGGAATCCTACGTGGTTGATATTTACATTTTTTTTTGGTGACGAGTGGTTCAGTCATATTTACATGAATATAACAGAAGAAACATTTCTTTGAATGTCTACTATCATAATTTTTCAGGGAATCATTACATGCCATTAGCTGTATCAAGTAAGGTAGGGAATGTTCTTTCTTGTTGAAGTAAAAGCACCTCTTTCTTTAAGCTCCAGTAGTTCAATGCATTATGCTTGTATCAGCTGACATGCTGACTTATGGACCACAAACTAAAGATGGAGAGGTCAGATATATGCATTATGTAGGCTAAATAAACACTATACATTGTAACAATTGGGAATGATGCACACGTAGAAATGTAGAAACTGTACAAAGCAAAGTTTAAGATACAACAGGGGCACTTTTTTGCACAAGACCGTCCATAATCAAAATCAATTTCATAATCTTGTATCTACAAACATAGATAGAGGGAAAATATGAGAAAATAATGTAGGTTGGCCAACTGATGGAAGGTCCATCAAGAAAAAAATAAAAGGTACAAAGGGAAAATGTGAGAAGATAATATTGGTCACAAAATCTAGAAGGATGAAAGAAACTGTGATATAATAGGGGATGCTTACACATTGTTAACATAACGCAGTTTGATAAGATATTGTTAAGCTAAATAGTAAGAAAAAATGATCACATGTGGCTGGATTACCTTGATCATCTTTACTGTAAGATATTACTGCTGTGGCAAATCAGCAAAAATATCAAAGGTAATGATGGGGACACCTGCAGTAGACAAGATTTTTGCTTATAAGAATTTAAAGAGCAATAGAGCACATGGAACAAAGTATGAACACTCAAAGCCAACTTACCATATTGCTGAAGGACCCTCACTGCCAATGCACTTAATCCACACCTAGCAGCCTCGGGATAACCCTTCACATATATCACGAGGGTGCTCTTTGTCCTTGATATCCTACTAAGGTGTTTATGGGACCATAAGCATCCGATGAGCAGGGAAGTTAGTATTACCTCATGATGTCAGTTAAACAATTAACATTGGCCAAGCGGTTAACAGCTACTGGAATTCTGGTTAAATATTTTTCATTGAAAACTCTGAAACTTATTGAAAGTAAAAAAAATGTTTAAAATTAGTTCAAGAGGTTTCACTTTGCCTTAACTATAAAAACTGTATCCTACATTGCAGTTCTATTTGAGTGAAAAATGTTAAGCAAAATAACATATATATGAACCACAAGGGCAAAGGTAAACATAGGATTCTTGAAAAAAAAAATGGAACAGCTATGCATTAGCAGGAATCTGATCTATGAAGAACCATGTATTCCAAGAATGCTATAAATGTATATAAAGAACAAAAGCAGCACACATTCGAGATCGAGAAGGATGGGGCCAGGAACCTCAAGGATGGTGTCAAGGTACTTGAGGATGATGGCGAGGTAGACTTGAGAGAGATAAGATCGAGATCGAGAAGGATTAGGGGCCTAGAACCTCAAGGACAGCGCCAAAGTCTATCAAAGAAGCATCTAAAGATGTTCCTGTATCAGATCGTCGGATTTCAAAGCGTTCCAGGAGGACAAGCTCTAGGAATTCAATCAGTTTGAAAGTCTCTGGTTCCATATCTGTCTATCAGTTGAAACTCATGATACGGGAATCTTTAGGGGTATGCTATAGATGCCGAATCTACAAGCCAGCTCAAATATTTGTTTCGTTCTCCATTTTTTAAAAAAAGGATCTACTGGCATTTTTGCTTATCCATCTTGCTATGGAAGATTTTATCTTTTTATTATCTTTATTATGCTTGCCTGCTTTGGACTACTTCAGTCAAATAGTTTACCTGTGGTCTTGCTACATTTAGACCGTTAAGGAGAACCAGAAGCTTCACAAAGGCAATGTTGAGATTGAAGGTGACTTCGCTACTCTTGCTGACAAGAGTATTTTTCCTGGGGATGTTCTTTGGGTCAGAGACTCTGAAATCTTTGAGAACCGTGACATAGCAGGTGCAGTAGCAAATATGATGTGCCAGATCATTTCTGAAAGACAAACGATGTTGTTGATGGTTCTAAGTGTTTTTCGTTTATGTGTTTCAGATGAGATTTCAGAGCAGAAGGGTGATATACTGCAGGTCGAGGAAGGCTTTAGAGGGACTCTTTTGACATCAAGTGTTTCAGCACAGCTTTGTCAGGGTATAACATTTAGCGAATGAGTTTCTTCCGTCAGATATATGGCTGCATACCTGTTGACGTAAGCTAGTTAAGGTCTCTAGAAGGTGATACTGACTGCCTTGTTCTTTTTTTGTTACATATCATAGTTTTCTCAATAGAAATTACTAAATTAATGTTGATTGCTGCCTTTTCTAAGAACCTTTTGGGCGTTGCTTCCATGCATACACAGCACATTCACCAAAACAACTTAAGTTACCTACTATTTCAAAATTTCAGTAATCCTACCCTATGACATTCAGTACTATTTCAAATTTTATTGATGTTTTAGGTATACCCTTTCTGTCTTTACATGCATGAAAATAAGGCTGGAAATCTAACATTTTCCACGAAGACAGCGTTACTAATCATAGAAATACTAACGCTTGCTCTCCGCTTTTAGTCCATTTCAATACCCTAACTTCATCTGGTGACCTCGTTTTGTTAAATCATAGAAATACCAACGCTTGCTCTCTGGTGATGCAGATACCTGATTGCTTCAGAGGGTATACTGAATCATGTCAGTTCTAGCAGCCCGGGCGTAAATTTTTGTCTATCCTTCTCTCCATGCTGTCACACTTAAGGATGTCAAATGTATCCTCGCTTGAGTGAGGAGAATGGACGAAGGCTCCTCCTGTAGTTCAGTCTTCCATTCTTCCCTGATGTAATTATGACTTAGGTATTAGATATCTCTGGCTGCGGGGCTGTGCTACCTGCATGCTTAGCCTTTTTTATGTTGTGTGAGGGCTACGAGCGACTTGCCTTGTACTTGGTGGCTGTGCACACATCGGCCTGTTGAAAGGCAGAAAACTAAGAAAGCCTTAAGGTGATGCAGAGCAGTGTACTCTATAATCCGAAGCGTTTGCAATGCAATTTGATGTCCCTTCTGTGTCCTGCACTCCTGTTTATGGTCACTCAGGTTTGCTCACCTCTCGGTGATCATAGAAGTGAGTCCCGAAATCAAATGCAGCCATGCAGGATCTCTTCGCCTGTGCAAAAAACGACTCTCTACCTTTTTTTCTTCATTAAGAAAAATTAATCGTCATTTTAGCTATGGTTTCTTTTATTTGAAGCAATTATATCATTGGTTATCAGAATTGGTTAGTTAATGAGAAGGGGACAAAATGTTTCAGACGTTGACGTGCGGCCGTGCGGGATTGAGGAAAAATAATGTTGACAAATCAAAATTGTAATTTTAAACTTGTTGGCTCCGTTCGCTTCGCTGAAAAAACTAGACAAAATACTTTTCCGGCTGATTTGTCGTGACAGAAAAATACCGTTCCGACTGGAAAAACAAGCTGAAAAAAGACGGATCATAAGAGAAGCGAACATGGCCTATAGCTTGAACTTAGATGCATAACTAATTACGGCGGCCATGCCCTTATCCTATTTTGTGGGTCTGGCATCGTGACAGCACATTTTATTACATGATTAAATACATTGACTTCCCTTGACTGACCTCACTCATCAATCATCATGCTTGTGGCGTGCAGACTATGGAAAAAGTGTTGCAAGTGGACCAGAGCTGCGATTTCTGGTGCTAATCGCTCCATCTAATACAGTACTATTATATTCTGACGATGACTCGGCGCTACGCAACATTCCGGGCATAGCGGCATGACTGACGCGGCAGCCGATCCAGTCCTAACAGTAAGCAAAATTATGTTGTAGCGGCACCAGCACGTACGCTGGCACGAGTCGTGGTCTATCAGGGCACGCGGTTTCTTGGGCCGGTTCAACCAGCCGGTCAACGTGGTCGGCTAGCCCGACGCCCCGGCCCACGGGCCACAAGGCCACAGCACTAGGCGGTTTCCGTGAAACAGCTGCGGCCCCGGGCTTTTGTTGGCGACCCAGCTTACGTCCGCGTGCCGTGGCGCTGCCGTCACCCCGTGTTCCTCCTTCTCCCTCGGCACAACCTCGGTTTGACCATGTGGTTACGGCTAATCATGATTCTAGGCAGACTACTTTTTGACTGAAATGCCCTTCCGTGGCATCGGTAGGCTACTCTCGTGAGGTGGTAGAGTCGTGGGGGCACACCCAAAGACTGAACCTCTCCCTTGCGTTGCTTCACCTTAACATCTACATCAAGATGTGCGTTGTTTGCGTTGCTTCAGCTTAACACATTTACATCAAGATGTGAGTTGAACTTAAATACGATGTCTCTGTTCGTTTAGCTGGCTTTACGCCACACCAGACTGGGTTATTATAGACTTCGGGGCCGTTTGGATCCCAAAAGATGATGAGAATCCAGATTATGAATAGCGATTTTAAAAATCCAGATTGCGAATAATGATAATCGGTTCCGTTTGTATACCAGACTATAATATTCGGATACTGTATTCACTGTAGAGAAAAATGTCTAAAATACCCTTGGCTGCTTTAACTGATTCTTTCATTCGGCTAGCACCTCAGACGTACAGGTGTCTGATGCCCAAGGTCCAATATCGTCTTTTCGCAGATAGAATCCCCCAGAAGCTTGGCCTGTTCGCTTGAACTTATCGGCTAGAATCTACAGTATTTTTCTCTCACAACAAAACAATTTCAGTCGATTTATCAGCCGGCTTTAATACCAGCCGAACAGAAGGCTACTGGATTACTGACTTGGATTTCGCAAACCAGCCGAGAATCACCTAGGAAGCTCCTCCGTTTGAATCAGTTTTGGGATTTTTTTAATCGAATTGCAGAATCCTATCATATCTAGCATCTAAGGGCGTGATTGGTTGCTTTGGTGATAGAAAGTCGGAATGGAGAGGCAGTCTAGGATTATGAGATTTATGCTTAAATCGTGCACCAAGTCGTGTTTGGTTGACTTTGTTGTTAGTCCAGTACGAGACGTGATCTTGTTTGGTTGCATGTATGAATAAGAGTTTTGAGTGTGTGACACATGGACCCTTATACCATAGGTGCATCGTGTCGTCCTGCATCGCGAGGGAAGTGGAAATTGAGAAGACGGAGCCGTGCGGGATGGTGGAGGGCAGCGAAATAAAACAAAGCAAACAAAGCGTGCGAAACGGGGAACCAAACACGATAGAAGAACGAGGTGAAGCAGGCAAAAGGTGCAAGGATGGTCGGGTTCCGACAACCAATCAGCCCCTAAGTATCCAACGGTGCAGTCTTCCAAACAGGCCCAACACTGTTCTCTTCTATCCTATATCTAAGTACATAATAACCCAAGGCACATTTAGGCTTTCCGGTCTCACACCTACTTAGACGCACACTTATCAATACACAACATGTTTGTCGCTTATCTTAGTGGTAGCCACGATTGCGCCGGGGCAGTATAGTCATTGCGTCGTCTTAATTTTTTCCTCAAGTTGAAAACTTACTATTATCGTAATGCGTGGGTTACCAGTGACGCATTGTGGTTACGCTGTTATCTGCACATGCAGCACATGCTGATGCAGTTAGGCAGTTAGCAAACAAGATGCAACGACCGACGACGACGGTTTCTCTGTGAGAACCACTGAGAGGAGCGCATAGGTCGGAGTCGGACCCTACTCCCTACAGTGAGCAGGTATAATGTATACTAGACCTGGGTCCTGAGCCTCCTGTTGAAAAGGACCGGGATGGTGAACTCACTGTGCGGCTCCTGCACCAGCCCCACCAAGATAATCACACGGGCCATAAATACGATGACACAGTACTATCTTCCTAGGGACAAAAGTATCTTCAAAACAGCTGGGTTAGGCAGTTGGACCTTGGACGGGACGGCTCGCCCAACATCTGATCCTTTCTCGATCGGCAACCGGTGTGAGACACGTCTGAGGACGAACTGTACTGATTGCTATTTGCTGCTGAAGAAGATTAACGGCGCGTAAATTACCGTCCGGGGCAGCATTTTACACTTGTCGGATTAATGACTAGAATAATATGATCAAAGCTGGAAAGAGACCGGCGGGTTATTCTTTGCAGAACGCTAGAAAGGCAGCTGCTACTGCGTCGAAACCTCGAGAGCCTGAGGAGACGGACCGAATTGAATCAGCGTGAAAGTATAACCTTTATTATTGTAGTATTTTTTATTGTTATTGCAGTGGTAGGAAAAAACACAGCACGAATCTTGTGATGAGAAATACAGCACGTCCGTGTCCGAAACTCTCTCACCTCAAGAGGAGCGCTACTTGCACACACGAATCTACCAGCTCTCCTAAATTATTACCGAATTACTCAAATGCAGTCGTCTGGTGGTTTGCAAATCCATCAAGCGACTGTCTCCTCTGTCCGATTCACTGGAGCCCAATCCCTAGCCGTCTGATCTGTGCCCACACCGCTTTTACCCGTCCCACGCCGACAGAGAAGAAGAAGCCAAGGCTCTTGGAGATGGAGAAGAAGACGTGGCGGCGACGGCTAGCGTTATTAAATATCCAACTTCGACAGGCTTAGAAGAAGGGGCTCGGGGGGAGGCAGGCGGGTGGTTATGTGTCCCCCAGGTGGAGGCGGGCGTCGCGACGAGCTCATTGGCGCTCTGTCCTAGGGGTTAGGTGGGTAGGGTCGGGGGGGGGGGACGAGGAAGATGGCGGAGCTGTGGCAAACTTCCTTCTCTTTAGGAGAGGGCGGGGTCGAGGAGGTGGGGGCAGACGTGGGGCGGGCTTGCTGGCGGCAAGGCAGCCGCGGCTGAGGGCAGCGAGGGTGGGGGCGGCAAAGCGCCAACGAGAGAGAAAAAACAGTGGGAGGAGGTGTTGCGGGGGAGGGGAAGAATGACTGAAGTGTCAGTCACCTGACCCCAATACACACCCAAATTATTATTATGCTGGTGGAATCAGTGTTTCCCGAACCCTTGCCATGGATGGACAGCGCAGCTACAGCTACTAATAACAAGCAGTCCTCCGGCGGCAACAGCAACAGAGACGGCCATGGCGAGGGCGCAGGAGCCAAGCCAGACGGACGAGCCGAAAGCGAAGCGCGTCGACGCTGCAGTCCCTTCAAGGAAGTCCGGTGTACTGTAACCGGAAAGTGGCGTGGGGAGAAAAGAAAAGAAAAGGGAAGCGATTAATTAAGTGCAAGCAAG